CCATCCTTTTGGGAGGCATCAAATCCCAGATGTATTGTGGCTCTGCCGATCTATTAGCAAATCCAACAGCCTCTACCCTGTAGCCAGCCTTCCTGGTAAACCCTGCGACATTCTGTAATGAAAGCCCAGGTTCTCAGATACACCTGTGTGCTGGTTGGGGCTTCCTTTTCCGGATCCTTTGTCTATCTTGTCTGCTTAAACTGTAAGCTGTTCAAGGCCAGAGGTGTCTTACGGTGTGTGAGGTGGGAGGGGGTGTTGCACGCAGCAGAATAGGGATCTGATCTTAACTGGGGCCTCTTGGCCCTATTTCCTACTGGAATAAAAATGAGACATCTGGGAGGGGGAACTCTGCAAACGAGCTTCCCAATCCCACGGCCAGCAGAGAGAGCTCAGCTGTCGGCAGCGTGTAGAACAGTTTGGGGTGCGAGTGGGCAGCTGGGGATTTGGATGGTGCTCCGGACACGCTCTTTTCCTCCCTGGCCATGGCCCCACGTCCAGTGCCACCAAGAGAGTGGTGCAGGAGCTGGCTTCATTAGCTTTCCCTCACCGAGGAATCCCACCAAACCAGGAAAACCCCAGCTGGGTAGATCCACTGGCTTTAGAGCCGCATCCCAGTAAAAGATGAGGCTACTTGAGGGAAGTTCTTTGTGTCCATAACTGTGCACTGAAAAGGCAGCTTGTTTTCCTGTGTGTCCTCTTTATGGTGTAAAAAGCCAGCGAGCTCTTCGTTTGCCTGCGGTCTGCACTGCAGCCTGGTCAATAGCACCGAGGTGACCAGTGGCAGAGCGTGTGCATCGTCCACGGTCGCAGCTGAGGGCAAGCTAAGTGCAAGTCCAGTGCCAAGGACCAGCTGAGCTCAGTATCTGGGCTGCAACCTTAGCGTCTGCACCCAGGCTGCACAGAGAGTTCCAGAGGTTAAGCCCAGAAGGGACCATCAGATTTTCTACTCTGACCTCCCGCCCAGTTACCCTGGAATTGAGCCCCATCACTTGGGTCACGAATCTGTCCATGGTAGAGCGCCCCCTCCAGGAGCAACACGCGGAGCTCATACATGAGTCCAATTATCCCCCACCCTAACAGGAGTTATGGGGCATCTTTCTAGCAGGCTAGCGCTCGACCTTCTGGCCAAGGCCTCTGGGGCCACGTCCCCCCTCGGGGTCCCAGGCGAAACCACAGAATCACCTGCAGTTAGGAAACGGGGCTCAACCAAAAAAAGGAAAAGAACAACCTGTCAGCAACTCCCTCCAGGATATGGGCCCCTCTGACTCCAGAGAGTCCTGGGAGTGTCACTGTCCATGTCAGAGTCCACTGGGGAACTCTGACTCCTCTTTCCCCTTCTGCTCCGGGTCCTGCACCCTCCTCCTGTGAGGGCAGGGCCTCGGCAGGCTGCCAGCCCTCTCTTCAGAGCTGGAGAGACTCAACAGTCTGGTCCCTCCTCAGGGTTGCCCAGATCTCCTTTTAATGCTTTCTCCAGATTTGCAAGGGCAGAGGGGCAGGGCCATCCTGGCCCCACGCTGCTCCTTAACCCTTCCATGCTGGTGCGGAGGTGATGTACCCCAGCACACTTGCATTTGACTAAAGCATCTCTTCCAGCAAGGCTGGACGGTCTTGAGTTAAAGCCATCAAGAGATGGAAAATCCACCACATCCCTTACAAGTCTGTTCCAGGTTTCAGAGTAACAGCCGTGTTAGTCTGTATTCGCAAAAAGAAAAGGAGGACTTGTGGCACCTTAGAGACTAACCAATTTATTTGAGCATAAGCTTAGTGGCTAAGCACCCTCACTGTTAAAAATACATGGCCTAAATTCTAGATTGCATTTGTCTGGTGTCAGTGTCCAGCTGCTGGTTGGTGTTCTGCCTTTCTCTGTTAGATTGAAGAGCCTGTTAGTACCTGCTATTCCCTCCCCAGGATGGTACTTAGACAGCATAATGAAGTCACCCCAGAATCATCTTTTTGCAGTTGAACCACATTCAGGACCCCTTGCTAACACCTGTTGTCAGCACTGGGTGACTTTTACAGTGTACTCCAGGAGTAAACTTCACAGGGCAGAGATGCCACGAGCCACCACCCATAGTTACCAGCCTTCTATCCAGCAATAAACTAATCACACACAGAAGTTTTATTCAGGGGCTTACCCCATCAGCTCTATCACTTTATTTGCTCCTGCCCTCATCCTTTAACTCTTTCTATCTCAGTCCCATTCAGCTAGCAAGCTCCCCCAGGGGACACAGCTGTGTCAGTTCTGTGTTTTGCAAAGCACAATACAGTACTCACTCGAAACTTGGCAAATTTGTTTTGCCTAATTTTGAACAGGCTGAAACATGGCTTTGAACTCAAACGCTGACAGGGAGGGTTGGTGGGAAATAGTTTTTTTGTCTCAGGAAAAATTGTTGAGGTTTTCTGGAAATTTTTCCCATTCTGCATGAAGCTGTTCAAAGCTTTTTGACAAACACCAGAGAGAGAAATCACATCCACCCGAGAAAATCAGACACTGTAGGCACTTGAGCCCAGGTGTCCCTCATCTCAGGTGAGTGCTCAGGTGTGGAGGTGTGAAGAATCAGCATTTTCCAAGAAAAACACCATTTTGTCGAAACTCCTCAACTATCTCTGCTGTTAGATTTGTGTTCCACTGGGGGAGACGTTACAACATGAGTTGGGTGGCTGAGATCAGCATGCAAAGTGGATGAATAAGTGAGCAGAGTAAAAAACGATAAATTAAACTCAGGGAAAAAAACATAGAAGAGAGATGATGCTAATGAAAAAAATAAACATATTCTCTTCCCATAGATAGGGCACCCATTCTTGCTCACCTAGCCTTTGAGTGTGTTCTTAAGTCCTTAATACACAGCAGAGTCTTCTCTGTAAGAAGAAAGATTTTTCTTTTTAAATTGACTCGCCTTTGGGAGGAGCCTTTGGTTCAGAGGCAGGAAAAACAAGCTTGCAAACTTCACTTTGTTTTGCAGCCCAACCCTAAATAGTCCCACAAGGATCTCCTGTTCCTAGTCACACACCTGCTAAGTGAAATTAACACAGAACAGAGCACGATGCAGTGACTGCATTCCTATCCTCTGATCAGAGGAAGGTGCAGAGAAGCCCAAGACCCTGGGTTATATCTCTGACAAGTGCTTGAAACAATGCCCATTCAGTGAATCGTTAGAGTAAACAAGTGTCCAGGCTATCGACTGCAGGAGATGCCACAGAAATAAACGGAAACAAAATCTGAGGGCTCATCCTGTGATTTTCCACATATGGTATGCTAATTGCTACCAACTGGTGCAAATTGCTGCTTGCCTTTTCTATGTCTGAGGTTGGCTTTCATGCAGCTCTGCCATTTGCTGTACACTGACTGCTGAATGTAGCCTGTGTTCCTCATTTATTCCCCGGCAAATGCTGTCCCCTTGAACATACTCTCTAGAAAGGGGGATGATTGGGAAGTCCTGTATGTTGTCATCAAAGAAGGACCTAAGTAAATAAATAGATACAACATAACATTGATTTTTGTGTGGTGGGAGAGACCGGTGATTTTGTTTTTGCAGAACTTCTCAGGTGGGCTTTGGATTCGTCGGACCAGGTTTTCTTCTCTTATAATCAAAACTAGATTTGTTTTGGATCCAGGTCCTGTGCTATCCTAATCTTCAAAGATTTCAGGAGTGTGAGGGGGTGTATGCCCCATGCAGGCAAGGAAAGGGCAAATGTGCGACAGAGAAGGAGACCAGTGAGCATACCAGGCTGCACCTGAAGGGTGGGCCAGGCTTAAGGATGAGGAAGTGCAGCTGGGGTAGGGCTAGGAGAAGACTGTACATAAGGGAGTTTTTTAGATTAGAAGGGGACTGTAGGTAGCAAGCGAGGAACGTTGCAGTCACTTTCTGGGACTAGAGAGGTTGGGGTGAGCTGGCCCTGGGATCTTCTCTGGAACAGGGAAGTCTGGTAAGTGGCCTGGAGTGCTACAGAGCAGCCACCGGAGGGATACAGGCTCTGGTGGGAAGCTCAAAGGAGAGAAACTGGGGAGGCTATTGAGAGGGATGTAATGTCAGGTCCAAGGAGGGCAGAAGTGGGTTTATCGCTGGCAGTTTGGGAGCTTGTTACAGGATTCCAAGGGAAAGTCCTGTGAGTCCAGGCCCCTGAGAGAAGGGTCAACCTCCACAGCTGAGTAGGAAAAAGTCCAGGGAGCTGCAGGGAACAGTCCTTGGCTGCTGGTTACAGGATCCCTGGGCTGGAGCCCAGCAGTGTGGTTGGGCCTGGGTTCTCCTACTAGCCAGCAGCAAGATGGCATGTGTCCAGAGAAGGGGACAAGAATGACAGAGACCCGACAGAAGGGTGTGAGGACAACAGGACCTGGAGTTGAGACTGAAGGCCTTGTGCTGGGGACTTTTGGACTTTATGATCCCAGAGGGGTGGGAACAAATTGTCGCCTGACCGGCGGGCTGAGTTACAGGAAGACAGACCCCTGCAGAACCAGACCCACCATCAGCAGGAGGTGCTGGAGTGGTAGAGCTGCTACACCACGTCTGGCCACAAGGAGGTGCTGCAGCTGAGAGTCCACTCTTTCACAAGAAGGTTTGGACAATGGTCTTGGCACGTGTTGGGCAGAAGTATTGTCCATAGTGGTTAAATTACAGGACTGAGCTAACGGAGCTTCTGTTCCCAGCTTTTCCACAATCCAGGGTGGCCTAGGTCAGGCCATGCCTTCTTTCTGTGTTGGAAATAGGAATAACATGTACTCTCCTCAAAGGGAGGGTTGTGAGACCTACCTCATATTTACAGAGCACTTTGAGATCTTTTGGATGAAAGCTGCGACAAACGAGTACGGCGATGTTATTGTGTTAATGTCATTTACTAACGCAGCTCAATGATATTTTGAAGGCCATAGATATGGAAAAGCATGGAGGTTTAAGCATTCATTTGGTTTTGCCCAGTTGGCATGTGCTTGCATTTCATTTAGCAGTAATACAAAAGATTTGATCAGATGTTCTGGTGGTTCTGTCTTGCTTGATTTTTAGGTGGCGAAATGTCTAACAGTGAGCACAACCAAGAGTTCCAGATGGTGGAGCAAATGGAAGAGATGGGTGAAAGAAAAGCTGGCAATGGAAAAGCTCCAGAGTCCCACCCAAGTGGAGGCATGGGGTCCCCCTCTCTGACTTCTGAGTCTACTCCCTTCCCAAATTCTTACGCCAACCAGTATGCCATGAGGAAATTCTTTGTTACAAGGGTAAGCAAACCCCACCCCTGTTTGTGTCCCTTAGTTAACAGATTGCCCACAGAATGGCTTGGCTCCTGGGTTCTCCTCCTGGATATTCAGTCCCCGAATTGCCAAGAGAATCTGGAGTGATCTACCCTTATGTGGCTAGGAGTCTATGATTTAGGTTCGTTGGGGGAAAAAACCTGCATGTGAGTCTAGTTTCCTTCGGGCATACATGATTTCCACCGGGAACTCCCACAAATCATAAGCTGTGCTCACTATCTTCCCTGCACATGAGCATGAGGTATAGGTCAAACCTGGACTCCCTAATGTTTGGAGGGTATGGTATGGAGTGCAATTTGACGTAACCAACTCTGTGACATTCCCAAGGATAACTGAGAAGTAATAGCTTATGAGAGGGCTTTATCCAATCAAAGGCTGTGTCTAATGTGGGAATTTGCCTCAGTTCCATCAGTCAGCGGCCAGAACTCCTTGCAGACAAACCCGCAATTTGTACCAAGGTAGCTAGTCCCCTCTCTGAACCCTGGGTAACCTGCATTGGTGTAAATCATGGCTTTGCTTTTCTACACTTGAAATTTGCATTGGTGAAGCTACTCCTTTTGCTAGCCACTGATGGGCTGGAAAGGGAGTAAATTCCCAAAGGAGAGAAGGCCTCCATCAAATTTATTGTATTTGTGGAGGGCCCAGCAGCCTTGAGTCTAGGAATCCACCAAGGCTCAACAGAAGCATCTGAAAATTATCATTCACTGATGCAGGCAGCATCAACTAAAGCACCTGACAAGCCCTTTCCTTAATGTTAGTATATACAAAGTCTGATTGCGCACGCAGTCTGTGGAATATATTTCCTCGGCTGTCTCCGATCCACTGTTTTAACGCATTTGCTATTAGGCTCTGATCCTAAGCAGCTCCTGGAGATGCTGAGCGCTTTAAGCTCCCACTGGGCTTAATTGAGCCCTTAATTCTTGCACCTATTTAATGCAGAGTCTTCCTGGATGGAAAAGCAGCACTCAGGGCTAATAACTGGAGCTATGCTGTGGGTAGAATCATTGTTTCAGTGGCGGAGACTGCTGATCCAAAGCAGTGTCTTACAAAAGGAACAATACTTCATCTTCCCTGACTATGTATTTATAAGCTCCCCTCAGATTGCTATCCACGAGCTATCATACCCGAAAGCCGGAAGGGGAGGGGAGAAATTCTCTCTAAATTTAAACTTAAGAATGTAAATTATATGCAGATGAAAGGAGCTCAAACCATTTGATCATTTACTATTTAATGAACGGTTCCCTGTTGCCTTTTTATAGCTTGCAGTCTCCTGTAGGCAGCAAGTCTCTAGTAAGCAGGCTCCGGGCATCCCCTGGTGTTCTGAGACACAGCTGCCTGTATGACACTGGTTTGGCTCATATCGACACCAAGTCTCCCTGCATGCTATCACCTCCCTGCCCCCTGCCCCACAGAGGTCTGAATCAGGCACGGTGCTGCCTGTGGGAGCATCTCCCTGGTCGGAAATCAAGGCGGCTCATAGAGCGAGTTGGCTTTTCATGCTGCCATCCGGAGCAGGCCTTTCTTTCAGAATAACGCAGATGCTCTAAAAGAAAAGGAGTACTTGTGGCACCTTAGAGACTAACCAATTTATTTGAGCATGAGCTTTCGTGAGCTACAGCTCACTTCATCGGATGCATACCGTGGAAACTGCAGCAGACTTTATATATACACAGAGAATATGAAACAATACCTCCTCCCACCCCACTGTCCTGCTGGTAATAGCTTATCTAAAGTGATCATCAAGTTGGGCCATTTCCAGCACAAATCCAGGTTTTCTCATCCTCCCCCCCCACACAAATTCACTCTCCTGCTGGTGATAGCCCATCCAAAGTGACAACTCTCTACACAATGTGCATGATAATCAGGTTGGGCCATTTCCTGCACAAATCCAGGTTCCCTCACCCCCCTCCCAAAAACCACACACACAAACTCACTATCCTGCTGGTAATAGCTCATCCAAAGTGACCACTCTCCCTACAATGTGCATGATAATCAAGGTGGGCCATTTCCAGCACAAATCCAGGTTTTCTCACCCCCCCACCCCCATACACACACAAACTCACTCTCCTGCTGGTAATAGCTCATCCAAACTGACCACTCTCAAAGTTTAAATCCAAGTTAAACCAGAACATCTGGGGCCGGGGGGAGGGGTAGGAAAAAACAAGGGGAAATAGGCTACCTTGCATAATGACTTAGCCACTCCCAGTCTCTATTTAAGCCTAAATTAATAGTATCCAATTTGCAAATGAATTCCAATTCAGCAGTTTCTCGCTGGAGTCTGGATTTGAAGTTTTTTTGTTTTAAGATAGCGACCTTCATGTCTGTAATCGCGTGACCAGAGAGATTGAAGTGTTCTCCGACTGGTTTATGAATGTTATAATTCTTGACATCTGATTTGTGTCCATTTATTCTTTTACGAAGAGACTGTCCAGTTTGACCAATGTAAATGGCAGAGGGGCATTGCTGGCACACGATGGCATATATCACATTGGTGGATGTGCAGGTGAACGAGCCTCTGATAGTGTGGCTGATGTTATTAGGCCCTGTGATGGTGTCCCCTGAATAGATATGTGGGCACAATTGGCAACGGGCTTTGTTGCAAGGATAAGTTCCTGGGTTAGTGGTTCTGTTGTGTGGTATGTGGTTGTTGGTGAGTATTTGCTTCAGGTTGCGGGGCTGTCTGTAGGCAAGGACTGGCCTGTCTCCCAAGACTTGTGAGAGTGTTGGGTCATCCTTTAGGATAGGTTGTAGATCCTTAATAATGCGTTGGAGGGGTTTTAGTTGGGGGCTGAAGGTGACCGCTAGTGGCGTTCTGTTATTTTCTTTGTTAGGCCTGTCCTGTAGTAGGTAACTTCTGGGAACTCTTCTGGCTCTATCAATCTGTTTCTTTACTTCTGCAGGTGGGTACTGTAGTTGTAAGAAAGCTTGACAGAGATCTTGTAGGTGTTTGTCTCTGTCTGAGGGGTTGGAGCAAATGCGGTTGTATCGCAGAGCTTGGCTGTAGACGATGGATCGTGTGGTGTGGTCAGGGTGAAAGCTGGAGGCATGCAGGTAGGAATAGCGGTCAGTAGGTTTCCGGTATAGGGTGGTGTTTATGTGACCATTGTTTATTAGCACTGTAGTGTCCAGGAAGTGGATCTCTTGTGTGGACTGGACCAGGCTGAGGTTGATGGTGGGATGGAAATTGTTGAAATCATGGTGGAATTCCTCAAGGGCTTCTTTTCCATGGGTCCAGATGATGAAGATGTCATCAATATAGCACAAGTAGAGTAGGGGCTTTAGGGGACGAGAGCTGAGGAAGCGTTGTTCTAAATCAGCCATAAAAATGTTGGCATACTGTGGGGCCATGCGGGTACCCATAGCAGTGCCGCTGATCTGAAGGTATACATTGTCCCCAAATGTAAAATAGTTATGGGTGCTCTAAGATGCTCTAAGGCCCCCTAGAATGCAGATGGTCTAAGCCTCCCTCGTCATAAGGCCAATGCTTAATTGGCTTGCCAGGGCTTAGCCCCGGCACCTCTGGGCCCGGCAGTTCAGAGCCCCGGCACCTCTGGGCTGACTGCATCCACTATGCATGTAAAGAAGTGGCTTGAGCCCCGGCACATCTTTTGTTACAAATTAAGCACTGGCTGAGGCTATGGCCTTATTTAAGGACATGGTCCGTGGCACGTTTAAAGATTCCCATTGACTTCACTGGGCTTTGGATCAGATCCTTGAAGCCTGATCCTGGAAAGCGACTTCAGGGGTGTGAGGGTGCCGAGCACCTTTACAGATAATGCGCTTTCAGTAGAAGGACCAGCTGGCTTTGCCAGTCAAACTCAGTTGCATCAGACCCATAGGTACTGTCGTTATGGGTTGCCGGGAGTGTGCTTGACCCCTGCTCCATCCCAGGCCCTGCCCCCACTCCACCCCTTCCCCCAAACCCCCAGCCCCGCCCCACCTCTTCCCGTCCCCCTCCGTTCCTTCCCCCAAGTGTGCCCGCCCAGCCCCTGCTCCTCGCCCTCCCTCCAGTGCCTTCTGCACACCGCTGAACAGCTGCTTGCGGCATGCAGGAGGTGCTGCGTGGAGGGAGAGGAGCTGATCAGGTAGCTGCCCCGAGGGTGCTGAGCACCCACTTTTTTTCCCCCCGGGTGCTCTAGCCCCAGAGCACCCATGGAGCTGGCCCCTACGATCAGCTCCCCTGTCCTCTCTGGTCCCCTGTGCTGCTGTCTTTCCAAAGTAACAGCAGCCCTGCAGAGCTAGGCGACCAGTGCTGTGGAAAAGGTCTCTTAGAAAAGGTGAAACCATGTGAGGCTCTCCTGGTTGTGCGTGATGCACAGCTAAGGTTTGCTGATGCTCAGGGACTTTTCAAGTGGACCAGGGCTGGTTTATGGGCTTACATTGAAACCAAGTGAAAGTGGCAGTTTCCTGTTCATTTTGAAGAAGAGAAGAGGGAACTCGTGTTGTGAGTTTCAGTTTGAGGCCTCGCAAGCCCAGTCATGAAATACCACGTCTTTACCACCTTCCTCCCTTTCTGTTGTGTTCCTATCACAAATATAAAAGACCCATGTCATACAGGCCGGATGTGATCTTGTTTACACCAGTGTAAATGTGAAGTACCTCCAGTGAAGTCAGTGGAATCCCACAGACAGACAGACACATACACCCACAAGCCAACGAACAGACGGAAATGTGTGGTACTTCCATAACCAATGGAAGGCCTTTGCATTAACCCGTGAGACCGCCCCAACACCATCTGCCATCTTGGATTCCCTCCACACACATCCTGGTCATTACTTTGGTAGTTTTGAAAGCTCTGTTCTTGTTTGAACAATATTCTGTTTCTTTGGAGCTGGTATAGTTGTCACCTCATGATGAACCCTCTAACAGCTGCACAATAAGGATGTCACAATTAGCTTGTGTATATAAAATGAACCCCCACCCCCTGGAAGGCAGACAGAGGGCAGATGACTGAGTCATTTCCAAATAAAAAACATGGTTTGAATAGATCCCCTAGTTCTGAGGCTTGAGACGTGGATACTTTTCTTTGAAGGGGACACCTGTATGCACTTAGCGTTGCTCCAACGACGTGGATTAGAATAAGAGGAGCGTGTGTGTTTGAGCTGTAATTTCTTTCCGTCATGTTTATCTTGCTATTCTTTTCTGATGTTCTCTCTTTCTAGCCAGGAGCATTTGACCAAGCCATAGAAGATCTAAAAATCCACGTGGTCAAGAATTCGGGGGAAACTGCTCAGAGCTTCTGGCTTTTGACCGAGTGAGTAGTCGTGACATATGGGGCACTGGCTGAGGTGGTGGCTTTGTTATGGGCTGCTAGAAATAAAGCAAGAATGGGAGGGAAGGGGTGTCACATAGCGACACTGGGTTAAGCTCTCTGGGTTCTGCTTTTAGAAGTGAGTGCATAGATACATCAGCAGTAGCATGACTTTCTGTTGAAAGGGAGACTGTAGGGAGAGGAATTCCAGGCACGAACAAAGCAGGCCTATGCCTCCAATGTAGTGCTGTAAAGAGTTGTGTAGAATCTCTTAATATTGATGATCCTTTTGTTAGTGGTTTGTAAATCATGCTGACAGTAAGTGCTGTGTAAGTGTCATTTATTATACTGGCAACAGTGTGTAGAGCGCTGGACTGGGACTCAGGAGACCTGCATTCAGTTCCTGGCACTGTTACAGCCTGCTGGGTGACCTTGGGCAGGTAACTGTCCTGCTCTGTGCCTCAGTTTTCCCATCTGTGTTTTCCCATCTGTGTTTTCCCATCTGCCCTCCTTTGGTAAAGTGCTTTGAAATCTGCAGATGAAAAGTGCTAGATAAGAGATAGGTAGTGGTGGTGTCTTCGTCAGACCAAAGAAGAGAGACCATGTTAATGTAAATATAACTGTTAATTCTGGGGTCATCTGAGCCTCTTTTGTGATTTTGTAAGAGCTAGTGCAGGGAGGGGGAGACCGAATCATCGCTGATCTTGCTGCAAAGGTCTCTGTTAGCAGCTTCTTTTAAGGAAACTGAAACTTGGATATTGCCCCCTCTGCTATGTTTATTTCTAGTTAAAAGGATCCCAGCAGCGGCAAATGACAAATCCTCAGTCTCACAGATGACACGTCATTCGAGCCCGGGAGCGGATATGTTCTGCAGTTAAGGATCTTTGCAGGTGGCACCCTGGGTTTAGCCGAGATGAGAACAGCATTTAATGCGGCTCCTGACATAGTTGAGCGATTTCGAAAGTACAGAGAAAGAGGCTGGTAGGACCAGGGTTACGTAGGCGGATTTGACAGCCATTACGGCAAAATTTAGAGGTCCCAAATCAGGATCAGAGCTCTGTTGTGCTGGGTGCTCCACATACACACGGTACAGTCTATCCTCCAAAGAACTTCCAGCCTAAATAGACATGACAAAGAGTGGCTGAAAGGGAGCAGTATTTATCCCCATTTTACAGACTGGAAACTGAGTCACAGGGCAGGTTGCATAGGGCGGTTACACAGGAATTCTGGGTTGGAACCAGGAATTACACTCCTGAGTCCCTTCAGCACGGGACCATCCTCCCTCTTCAATCCCCTCCCTCCCTCCTCACCCTCTGTGCAAAAAACCCCCCAAAAAAACGGTTTATAGGACAAAATGAACCAGCCCAAGAATCTGCATCTCAATAGCGGAGATGGACTGGTAGGTAGGAGCCCTGGGGCAACCTTCCATAGTCTAAAACCTCTTGTGTATTGGTAACGATAGTGAAATGACCTTTTAATGACGGGGTAAATACTGCTGTGGTGGTGTGTGGACATGGCAAATGCGGCAGATTGCTTGGCAATCCGTGGTTAAGGGCACGGTTACTTGCACTAATGATTCCATGCTGTGGTCCTGTGACCTGGTTGGCAAGTAGCTCGTCAAGTCTGCCTGTGCTCAACTGTTGGAGTTAGGGAGCCCATTTAGCAGGGCTGCTGTTTGCTTTGGCCTCTCCAGGAGCTTGTATATATTTGCTATGTTTTTAAAAGCTCCAACCCTCCGAGGGAGGGTTTGCACAGACCAGCTGTGATGCGAGTTGCTCTTCTCTGTGTGAAGCCCGCTCGGTCAGGGAGGATGTCAGACAGGCTGGCTCATCCTGTGTGATGAGGCCGCTGGGAGGGGTGGCTGCTGTCGTCCAGATACAGTATTTTGTTGCTGATTGTGAAGACGTGTCAGTGAGCTTCTTTTAAGCTACTTCAGCAGTGCTGGGGCTGGCAGGTGTGTGAGATTTAAAGGCACCCCACATCCATTCCTTCTAAAGGCAGGCCGAAATATCCCAGCCCTCAGTCTCTGAATTTCTGCCTGCTGGCGTTGAAAGCTGCCTACTGCACATGGATTCCCAGCATGCATTAAAATGAGTGGCAACCGGGCACCACTAGAACAATTTCCCAAAGGTCGTGGTGGATCCTCCATCACTGGCAATGTTTAAATCACCATGGGATGTTTTTCTAAAGGATCTGCAGTGGGACTATTTTGGGGATGTCCTATGTCCTGTGTTACACCCGAGGTCTCACTAGATGATCACAATGGTCCCTTCTGGCCTTGGAATCTCTGAATCTTTTAGGTGGCTGTGGAAATTCCAGCCCTAGTTTATATTTAATCCCCTGAATTTCTACAGGGCAGTTTATCCTGATGGGTCAAAGGCACTTTACAAGCGTGGGACCTGATCTTGCATGAGGGTTTGCAGGGCTGGGGCCTTAGCGCATTCAAAACCAAGCACATGTTCTTTCTCGATTTGTTTCCAGCTGTCCAAGGTGAGAGTTTGGGTAAAACTTTCAAGAGTCCAAATCCCATTTTCAAAAATCACCTGGGCACTTTGGAACCTAAGACCTGCTGCCCTTCAATGAGATTTAGGCTCCTAAATGCCCGTCACTTTTGAAAATGGGACTTAGGTTCCCAAGTCACTTAGGACCTTTTGAAAAGCATGTCCTCCCTTTCAGAAAAAAGCTAACGCCAAGAACCAAAACCCTTTTTTTTCTAGCTGAATCTATGTAAGTCCTTAATCAGACCATTGAAGGATTTGTCCAATGACCCCTGGACTTCGCAGTGTTGTCGTACCCCGTGTGTACCTCGTCCAGTGCACTAAATGCCCCACTAACAACGACGTGGGTGAAAGAAGACAATTCTACGCTCTTGAATGAGCTCACACAGGAAAATAATGAAAGACAAAAACACCACATCGCCCGGGGGGAACACTTTGTGCAACAGATCACTACATATGTGACCTATCAGTCCTCATCCTCAAAGGAAACCCACACAATACCTTCAAAAGACAAGCTTGGGAGCTTAAATTCATAACGTAGCTAGACACTAAAAATCTGGACCGAACAGAGACGCTGGATTTATGGCTCATTACAACACTCTGTAATCCAATAACCTTCCCTCCCCCTTTTTTGTCCTATGACAAAAGTTATAAATTTTGCAAACGATACCAAGATGGGAGGAGTTGCAAGTGCTTTTGAGGATAGCATTAAAATTCAAAATGATCTGGACAAACTGGAGAAATGGTCTGAAGTAAACTGGATGAAATTCAATAAAGACAAATGCAAAGTACTCCACTTAGGAAGGAACAATCAGTTGCACACATACAAAATAGGAAATGACTGCCTAGAAAGCAGTACTGTGGAAAGGGATCTGGGGTCATAGTGGACCACAAGCTAAATATGAGTCAACAGTGTAACGCTGTTGCAAAAAAAGCGAACATCATTCTGGGATGTATTAGCTGGAGTGTTGTAAGCAAGGCATGTGAAGTAATTCTTTTGCTCTTCTGATTAGGCCTCAGTTGGAGTATTGTGTCCAGTTCTGGATGCCACATTTCAGGAAAGATGTGGACAAGCTGGAGAGAGTCCAGAGAAGAACAACAAAAATAATTAAAGGTCCTGAAAAAATGACCTATGAGGGAAGATTGAAAAAATTGGGTTTGTTAGAGAAGACTGAGAGGGGACATAACAGTTTTCAAGTACATAAAAGGTTGTTACATGGAGGAGGGAGAAGAATTGTTTTTCTTAACCTCTGAGGATAGGACAAGAAGCAATGGGCTTAAATTGCAGCAAGGGAGGTTTAGGCTGGACATCAGGAAAAACTTCCTAACTGTCAGGGTGGTTAAGCACTGGAATAAATTGCCTAGTGAGGTTGTGGAATCTCCATCATTGGAGATTTTTAAGGGCAGGTTAGACTAACACCTGTCAGGGATGATCTAGATAATACTTAGTCCTGCTGTGAGTGCAGGGGACTGGACTCGATGACCTCTCGAGGTCCCTTCCAGTCCTACGAGTCTATGGCTGCAGGGATGTTAGCTGGCCACTTCACCTTGTTAACTACTCATGCAGTGGTTCTCAACCCGGGGTACACGTTCCTCTGGGGGTGCACAGAGCTCTTCCAGGGGGCACATCGACTCATCTAGAGATTTGCCTAGTTTTACAACAGGCTCCATTAAAAGCACTAGCGAAGTCAGCTAGCTAAAATTTCCTACAGACAATGACTTGTTTCTATGGCTCTGTATACTATCCACTGACATGCAGGTACAGTATTTATATTCCAATTGGTTTATTTTATAGTTATGTGGTAAAACTGGGGAAGTCAGCAACTTTTCAGTAACAGAGTGCTGTGACTCTTTTGTATTTTTATGTCTGATTTCGTAAGCAAGTAGTTTTGAGGTGAGGTGAAACTTGGGCAGGGGGTTGGAGGCCGGGAACAGAAGACAAATCCTGAAAGGGGTACAGTTATCTGGAAAGGTTGAGAGCCACTATGCTAAACAATCTCTTCCATCTTGTTTTTAGCCATGACACTCTGAGTACCTTTCCCAGACCAGAAGAAGAGCTGTGTGTAAACTTGAAAGCTTGTCTCTCTCACCAACAGACACTAGTCCAATACAAGATACAAGCTCACTCTCCTTGCCTTTCTAATGACCTGGAACTTTGTCATGTCAAGTCTGTTGAGTGCTGTAGTTTGGGGCCCTTTGAGAGCCAGCTCAGCCTTTGGAGTTGGGTTCATGACCACAATTCTGTAGCTTGCAGTATATTTTTGGGGGCTATCCAATATCAGCCACTAGCTTTTTATTTCTGACGTGGCACTGGATCTATTCAGCCCCCACACATGATGTGGGTGTGTCATCTCTCTCCTTCCTGCCCACTGCTGCCAGGATTGCAAAAGGGGCTCACACTCTCCCGTTTCTGAAGCTGAGCAATAGTCCTCTTACATCAATTTACTCCAAGCACGGAGGTTCGTAGGCTAGGCTGAGCTGCTGCACGGTCGCTTTCTCTAGTGC